CAATAGGCATTCCTAGGACTCGTCATGAAGGAAGAATTGCTGGGAAGGGTACAATAGGCACAAAACTAAAGAGCATGTCACAAGAAGAAGTTCTTCAAGCTCATTTATATATTTTGAACAATACCGATGAGGTTCTTCCTTATTTGAATGCCCACAAAGACTTGGTGAAGAGAAACAACCCTCGAATGCCTGAAAAATGGGTGTTGAACGAGCATAATAAGACTTTTGCTGAGTGGTTCAAAAAGAATGTTGGGACAAATTTAAATGTTTCTGAAACTTTACAACGCTTAGCGCAAGGGCCTAACTTTGATGTGTTTACTTTTTGTGGATATGACATTAATAATTATTCATTTTATACAAAGGCACAAGATGACAAAAGTACCATGCAAAATAGTGAGATTATGATAGTTGCTCAATCTATGCATTTCTCAACCAAAAATGATAAGAACCCTATCACAGCATCGATGTCCTATTTTGGGGTTATTGAAGACATATGGGAGGTTGATTACGGTCCATTCCGAGTACCTGTATTTAAGTGCAAGTGGGTTGATAGTAATAGTGGTGTCAAAATTGATGAATTTGGATTTACCTTGGTGGACCTTAATAAAGTTGGTCATAAGGAAGAGCCTTTCATCATGGCTATCCAAGTAAAACAAGTATTCTATGTCACTGATCCATCTAATAATAAGTGGTCTGTTGTTCTACAAGGTAAGAATAACAATGTATGTGACGAATTTGGAGATTCGACCGATATTATGGATACTCCTTCCTTTTCAATACATGTGGCACCAACTTTCAATGAAGATGATGATGTGGATGATGTGCATGCCACTCGTGATGATCATCAGGAAGGAATATGGGAGAACATTCCAACTTGATAATATTTCTAAAGTACGTTACTATAATTTATTTGAGTATTATTTGTCATCAATTCAATTTATACTAATGAATTATAATTTGTTTTTGTGTTAATAGGTAAATATGGATGAACAACAACACTTATTTTCAGGCTCTGCACAGTCTACATCCTCTACAAAATCTACAGCCATGAAGAATGTCAGAGGTCCCACTAAAATTAAATATGTGGCAACCAAACGTCTCAAGGGAGAAAGGATACATGTTGATATAGATGAGATCACTAGGCAACGTATATGGGATTCAGCTGCCCAGTTTATGAGTACCATGGGGGTTCATGCTAGAACTAAGATTTCTATTTTAATCCCTAGTTGGGATGATGTAGAGGAGGTTGTCAAAAATCATATTTGGGCTGATATTATGGTAAAGTTTTATTTACACTCAACATTTTCATTATTAAACATGATTAGAATATCAACATGTATTAACTCATTATTATCGTAAATGTAGGAAACTTGGGACATTCCCAACACAGAGAGGATGAGAAGGAAGATCCTCTCTAGTGGCTGGGAGGTGGAGGGCATATAAGACCACCCTCACAAGCAAGTATATTTTTGGGGGAAAGAAAGGAGAATTCCCTGGTAATGAAAACCCCACTATAGATCAAGAGACATGGGATGCATTTATAGATTCTAGAATGAGTGAGGAGTTTATGGTAAGTTAGAATTATGTGCATTTTCATTTGTGTAGTTGTGAATATTCTTTCTTGCCCTTAATCTTATTATATGTTACTTTTGTAGAAGAAAAGAAAAAAGGCACAAGAGACTCAGGCAAAGAATGAAACATCTGTTATTACGTCTCGTGGGGGTTATCAATTACTTAAGAAGAAGATCATGAAGGAGAAAGCTATGAAGCATCAGGCTAGCCAAGATGACAATGTTGTTAGTGATCCTCCGTCTCCACCCATGCGCCATGAATTATGGAAGTTCGCCCGCATAAAAAAAACGGGCGAGTTTACAACTGAGGCAGCAAAGGAGATTGTTAGCAAGATAGTAAGTATAATTTTATTGTTCATATGATAGCAAGATGGTAAGTATGATAGTAAGATTGATAAAGGTTTATTAAATTATTTGTGTCTTATGTTATAGGAGATATTAGAACAACAAGCCAAAGAAGGATCTTTTGTTTCCCATGGACGACAAGATATACTTACTGTTGCCATTGGGAAGCCTGAGCACACAGGTCGGGTTCGAGCAGCTGGAAAAGGTCATAACTTGCAAACTTACTTTGGACGACAATCAACTTCACACTCATCTACCTCAGTGGATCAATTGGTGGAATTGAAGGTGTCTCAGGTTGTGGAAACTTTGAAAGAGGACATGCAAAGGCAAATGAAAGAGGAGATGCAAAGGCAGCTACAGGAGTATATGCAATCATTTAGCCAACAGTTTCAACAGACTACTCTTGTGACAAAACCAGTTGTTGAACATTTGAGTACCAAAGGATCATGTGCAGCTATTGATCCCACTACTACTGGCATTAACCCTAATACATCTAATCAATGTGAAGCCCAACTCCAAGCTCACATCCAAGCCCACCAAAAAGGCCTGTTACCAGAAGCCAGCATGGGATTTATAAGCCTAAGAAGTCCTTCACTCTTCTTACCTCTGTGTCTAAGTCCCCACTACCTCGTAACCCTATATCCGCTCTTCGTGACCCGAATTGGAAAAAAGGCTATGGATGATGAATATGATGCTCTTATTAATAATAAGACGTGGGAGTTTGTGTCTCGTCCACCTAATGTTAATGTAATTCGGTCTATGTGGATTTTTTCTCATAAAGACAAATCTGATGGTTCTTTTGAGAGGCATAAAGCCCGTCTTGTAGGTGATGGTAAAACTCAACAAGTTGGTGTGGATTGTGGTGAAACGTTTAGTCCGGTGGTCAGACCAGCAACTATTCGCATAGTTCTCAGATTGGCTCTTTCTAAAGCTTGGTCTATTCATCAACTTGACGTAAAAAATGCATTCTTACATGGAGAACTCAAGGAAACTGTTTACATGCATCAACCCTTGGGGTTTCGGGACCCTAATCGACCTAATCATGTGTGTTTGCTAAAGAAATCTCTTTATGGGCTTTAAACAAGCCCTACGGGCTTGGTATAAGAGATTTGCTAACTATGTCCGTACTTTTGGGTTTTCTAACAGTACTTCGGATCATTCTTTGTTTATTTATCGTCGAGGTACTTCTATGGCTTATTTATTTTATGTGGATGATATAATTTTGACTGCTTCTTCTGATGAGCTTCGTAAGTCTATCATATCCTTTCTTAGCTCGGAATTTGCTATGAAGGACTTGGGACATTTAAGCTATTTTCTGGGCATCAATGTCACTCATCATGCAGGTGGTTTATTTTTTTCTCAAAAAAATATGCTGCAGAGATCATTGACCGAGCTGGAATGTCATCGTGTAAGCCATCTCCTACTCTTGTTGATACCAAACCAAAGATCAATGCTAGTACAAGCACACCTTTTGAGGATCCATCTCTTTATAGTAGTCTTGTTGGGGCTCTTTAGTACCTTACATTCACAAGACCCGACATTACTTATGTCGTGCAATAGGTATGCTTATTCATGCATGACCCAAGGGAGGAGCACATGCACGCTCTCAAACGCATTTTGCGTTACATTCAAGGTACTATGCATCTTGGTCTTCATCTATATCCATCTTCTACATCCACCCTTCTTTCTTATACTGATGTTGATTGGGGTGGGTGCCCAGATACACGACGTTTTACGTCTGGTTATTGTGTTTTTCTGGGAGATAAATTAATCTCTTGGTCTGCCAAATGACAGCCTACCTTATCACGATCTAGTGCAGAGGCGAAATACTGAGGGGTTGCTAATGTGGTTTCTGAGTCATGTTGGTTGAGAAACTTACTTTTGGAGCTTCATTGTCCAATTTAAAAGGCTACATTGGTATATTGTGATAATGTTAGTGCCATATACCTTGCTGGAAATCCTGTTCAGCATCAATGCATTAAGCATATTGAAATGGATATACATTTTGTTCGAGAAAAGGTTGCTCGCGGCCAGGTTCGAGTGCTTCATGTCCCCTCACGTTATCAAATTGTAGATATTTTCACCAAAGGTCTTCTGCTGGTGTTATTTGAGGATTTTTGAGACAATCTTAGCATTCGGCGACCTCCTGCTTCGACTGCGGGGGTGTGTTAGAATATATGATAATATATTCTGATTTATTATAATATCTGTTAGACGTATATTTAGTTCCTTATTTATAGCTAATTTGAAGCCAGCATGGGATTTATAAGCCTAAGAAGTCCTTCACTCTTCTTACCTCTGTGTCTAAGTCCCCACTACCTCGTAACCCTATATCCGCTCTTCGTGACCCGAATTGGAAAAAAGGCTCAAAAATGACCGATCTTAAAAGTGTTTTTTCCACTAGTGATTATTTTGATGTAGTAGGATGAATGAAGTGTTACCTTAAAGTGCTAATATTTTTTTAATACCAATACTTTTTTTGCATTTGATATTTGTATATTATAGTGCATTGTCTTTATTTGTACATGACATTTGCATCCGGTATTTGTAACTCAACAATTTAAAAATCATGTAATTGAATATTTCAGCTCCTTCTAGAAGGCTTAATAATGTAAAGGCCTAAAGGGTGGATTGTTATGGTGAGGATACCTTGTATCGTGACCTTCTCAAATTATTATTAGTGGGGTGGATTATTTTGTTAATTTAGTTTTGATATTTAAAAATATAGTAAAAATACGTTATTTAGTAAGAAGAGAGAAGAGAGATCTTTGTTTGGTGTCTCTTTCTCCTTTAATAGAGACACATATTTATATGAGATTTGAGGAGAAACAACTTTTATATGGTACACACATAAATACTTATTTCTGTCGATCCTTGATTATAAACCAAATAATGAAGAAAAAAAAATGTATTCTTTAATTTTGAGAATCATTCCTTTCATTTTCACCTATTCGATCCATGCAAGGCTTAAAGTGAGAACATGTGTGGCCAATCTGAGCCACCAATGCGGAACGCAATTGTCGCTCTTTCATTGTCAAACTCATAAAATGCGGTATTCGTTCTCCACCTTCGTGCATTGTTCCATCAAACATTAATTCACAAAACAAAACAAGTGAAAAGCTAAGAGAGACTCCGAAAAACGTTTATCTGATACAACGTTGTTTTGTTGTAGAGAAAAAATGGCGGGTGTTAGAAGATTGGGCGTGGCCGTTGATTTCTCACCATGCAGCATCAAAGCTCTCAGATGGACGGTGGATAACGTCGTCAAAGAAGGGGATCACCTCATTCTTATCATCGTTCGCCACCCTGAGAACTACGAGCAAGGCGAGATGCAGCTCTGGGAAACTACTGGCTCACGTTAGTAACCCTAATCCCTACATATAAATATTCACCCTTTATTTTCATTTATTCACTTTCATTTTCTGCTCCTTTACATGTTTTAATCACTTCACATGTGCCCTAAATTATATGTAGGACTTGACACGATACAACAAAGATTAACTCAATCAATATCAATTAATTAGAAGTTTAAGTGCAAACTCGTTTGATTCCTTTAAGTAAAGTCTAAATTTTTGTCTCAATGAGAGATCTTATTAAAGACTGTCAATCATGTTTTTGACATAGATTAGTCATTAATATTAAATAATTTTAACTAATAAAATATTTATCAAAAAAATATTCCATTGAAATTAATCCAATTATGGGTTCAAATTCCTTAAATTTAACAAATGCCTTCTTATACAGATCGATGTTTGTTTTGTTGTTCCTAATTGATGGGGTGGAAATATTTGAGATTTTAGTGATATATTTTTATTATATGAAGCATCGATCGCTGGTTATTTATGGGTTTTACTTTATGTACATATATTGATCTAAATGCAGCTCTGATACCTCTTGCCGAGTTCTCTGACCCCACGCTCATGAAGAGATATGAAATGGAACCTAAACCCGAAGTGATTGATATTGTCTCAACCGCTGCGAGGCAAAAAAGTGTATGATTTATTTAATTTTTCTCTCTGGGTTATAGATGACTTTAATTAGAATGTAGTATATATTGTAAAATATAAAGGTTTATTATATGATACTCTCATCTAATAATCTGAAATGGTCATATGCATTAAAAAAAATTTGTTAGTGATTATAATAATAATTACTTTAAAATCATGTTTCAATAATTTTATAAGTGTAACTTTTACGATTTTGGGGTGACAGATTGTGGCACTAATGAAGATCTATTGGGGAGATGCTCGTGATAAGTTATGTGAAGCAATTGATCACGTACCTCTAGATTACCTTACCATGGGGAACAGAGGCCTTGGCCCGCTCCAAAGGTAAACCTATTATATGTGCATTTGGGATAGCATGCATAGTTGCATGTGGGGTTGTTAATGATTCTTGAGTTGCTTGGATCAATGAGTTTCATTCTTTTTCTTTTTGTAGGGTTATAATGGGAAGCGTCAGTAACTATGTCGTGAATAATGCCACTTGTCCTGTCACTGTGGTGAAGACTTCAGACCATTAGTTTTTAGTTTTCTATTTTGATGTAGGAAGAAATTAACTTGTTGATCTGATGTGCATGTTGATGACTTTGGTATGGTTATTGCTTGCAAAGTCTGTAATCTCTGAATAACTTTTTGAGTAAAGGATTAATGATGAAATAACTTTCGGTCAAGTAGTAGGGTTGAGATAAAATATATATAGTGTTAAGTTTCAACTTTGGTATTGTCATTGATTCTGATATTTAAAAAAAAAAGAAAGATGAAGACAGATCTATACCTGTATTTAGAATAAATGAATCATGTGCGTAAAAGTTTGCATGTCAGCATGCAGAATTAACTAATTGACTCCAGTCGTATACGATTGTAGACTTTTAAAAAAAATAAATAATATAACATGAGAAATGGAAATAAAAAAAAGAGAAAAATATGTGGCACGGAACAATTATATAAATAATATAAGTTTACAATTATTTAAAATCTCTTGTATTCACTGTACTTTTATGATTGCGAAGGATAAAATAAATCCAAAAGTGCTACACATCAGGTGGCAAAATGATCTAACCTGCCAAAGAAGTGAGCCAAAAATTGTAACCCGCTTTAATTGTTTATGATTTAAGACCAATTATGAAAAGATATATATATATAGAACTTAAAGGAATCCAAGGAAACTTTCTACATATAATCATATATATGCTCTACTAAAGGCATATTGAATAAAATTTGTAAAGCATTTTGAACACATCAAATTTATCTTTGTTAAAACACATATATTATTATTTGTTTATAGGATAATGAATCATACTATTATTATTTTACCTCGGTTGACAAGAGTAGCCAAGTATGAAAGACTTTCTATAATATCAGCCTTCAACATACACTAGTACAGAATGTAGATTTGAGGTTTGAATTTAAAATTAATTATAAGAGGACCGATTTAATAAGAGTTGCGGTAATATTTTTAGAGAATTTCTACGGTACCCTTTATAAAAGAAGGGTACCGATACTGTTGATGATGTGTCACTTACGTGTAAATTCAAGTTATTTATAATTTTTTAATTATTTAAAATTCACATCGACGTATGATGTTTACGTTTTTTAATTTTTTTTTCCGAATCTTTTTGCCTTCCTATTTCTTCCCTCGCTGCAAAAACCCTAATCCCCGACGTGTGCGCGGAAACCTCATCGGCGGAGAATGGCGATTGTGACCGGGGAGATCGATACCTCGAGAAGTTGGTGCACTTCGTGGAGGACCAGGCGGGACCTCTGATCGAAGGAGCCTTGGTGTTGAAGCTGAATCTGGCGGGTCTTCCCTACGTCCAAACGAGGCTGGAGGCGCTGCACGAGTTGGAAAGCCTCCTTTCCGGTGCTCCGGTGGCCTCCCTCCGAGCGTACGTGTCGGACCTCGGCGACCACCGCGCCTTGGAGCAGCTCCGCCGGATCGCTGAAGGTCGTTTCGGTGCTCCCTCATCCAATCAGGGATCCAACGCCCTTGTCGTTTCTTCCGTTAGGGTGCTTGAAGGTTCTCGAACTCAGAGGTTGCGACTTGTCAACTTTCGCCGCCAAAGGCTTGCTCGAGCTCCGCCACACACTCGAGAAGATTGTTTGTCACAACTTTACCGTGAGTCGTATTCGTTTTCTATTTGCTTTCTTTCTTTCGCAATTTTGCTGAGTGTTGAGTTTTGTTATTAGGATGCTCTGCGGCACGTGTTTGCTAGCAGGATAACGGAGGTGAAGAAGTCTCCGCAGTGGAACCGCTTGTCTTTTGTGTCATGTGCGTGTAATGGCTTGGTTCTCATGGACGAGTCTCTGCAGCTTCTTCCCGCGGTTGAAACACTTGACCTCAGTAGGAACAAGCTTGCAAAGGTGGATAAAAACTTAAAAAATAAATAACGTAAAAATTTAAATACAAAATAATTTTTATTTAAAAAGCTGACATGACATTTAAATGATGTGTACATACACATTAGATACAGTACCAAAACCCCTCATTTATCAGGGGTACAATAGCAACCCCCATATTTTTATATATATCATCACTTTAAAAATCGATTATTATAGAACTAATTCTAAATGTACATACAAAATATGTGTGACTTATGAAATTTGTTAATTATATCTAATTTCATATATATATATATATATATATATATTAACTAATTTCATATAATACATACAAAATTGATTGTTGGGAAACCAATTTTAAAAGTGGATTAAAATATGAATACCTTCTCCTTTTGTCATTCACTCTTTTTCGTTGTTTCATTCTTGCATTCCTCTGTCTTTTCATCATTAAAATGTGTTGTTCACTCCTGACGATCCACACAACGAAAAACTCCATAATGAATTTCATAAATTCTATGAGCACTGAATTCAATTCAGAGTTTGTTTTTTTTTTTTTTTTTGCTTCTTCTCTCTATATCCATTCTTTATTCCCAATTTTTGAAGGATCGAACCAAAGAAACGATTATCCATCTTCCCAATATTGAATTGGTTGAATCATTTTGGTAGCACAAAATGATCCCTCTTCTAGCAAAAAAAAAAAGTAGAAGAGGTTGTCCAAATGATGGAAATTGAACTTGGAAGTGAATGAATACTTCAAGATCTATGAGAGGTAAATAGATAATAAAAAATCATGTTAGTATTTTATTAGCTTATTATTAAATAATACTTATTGGCATTACAATGTAGTGTTTTAGGTGTATTTGTTTGCTTCCCCAAAGAAGAATTCAAAGTTGTGTCTAACTTCATTTATAGCATGAAGGAAAGGAGAATGAAGCCACATTCTACCAGTCTTTAGTTTTGGGCTTGTTCTTGGATTCGTCGAGTCTTTTGTGAGGATTTTTGTGATTTCAGTTTCAACAGAGGCCAATTCCTCTTTGTTGTTTTTTTGTTATTGTTGTTGTTTTCTTTGTATTTCATTTTGTTAGTGAGGTTTATGTCTTTGTTGCTTCCACTTTGTTTGTCTTTTGTATTTTGTTCCTTTAACACGTGGAACTGGTGTTGGTATAAGTGAAGATATCTTGTTGAGTGGAGACATACAAAATCAATTGTTTATAATTGATTTAATATGTACAACACATGTGAAATCAATTATAAATAACAAATTTTTTAGTGGTAAAAAATCAATTTTAAAAGTCTCTCTATAGGTGGAGATCTCTTGTTGTGTGGAGACATAAAAAATTAGTCGTTTATTATTGATTTCGTATGTGCAACACGTGAAATTTGCTATAAACAACCAATTTCATAGTGGTCAAAAGTCGATTTTAAAAGTGTCTCTCTATAGGTGGAGATCTCTTGCTGTGTGGAGACATACAAAACCAGTTGTTTATACTTGATTTCGTATGTACAACACATATGAAATAGGTTATAGATAACCCGATTTCATAGTGGTCAAAAATCGATTTTAAAAGTGTCTCTCTACAATATCAAAAGGGATAGAATCAATTGTACAATTAATTTCAAAGGCCAAAATAAATAATTTTATAGAGTATCAAGTTAAAATCCTTACATTAAGCTTAAGAATTTGATCAATTAACGACTCTAAATATATTTCTAGCATTTAGAATCATTAGGTGATTAATTTGTTTCAAATTAGATTTAGAAAATATTTCCAATCAAAATCTAAATTGTAAATCAAAAGATGAGTGATTATTTCACTTCAAGCATTAAGAACGAAATTAAAGCACTAACATTGATAACAAAATATCATACATAATATATATATATATATATATATGTGTGTGTGTGTGTGTGTGTGTGTGTGTGTGTGTGTGTGTGTGTGTGTTTAGTCAAAGAATTTGTATTTTTTTAATTAGTTTTAATAAATAGTCAAAATTTTATAATTGACCATGGATATAATATATATATATATATATATATATATATATATATCAAAAGGATAACATAAGAGTTTGATAGATTATAATCAATCCCAACAAGAAGATAAGTTACTCATGGTGGTGACTACAATCTCCAATTACAATGAAAACAAAGGAAAGAAAAGATGAACCCAAGATCTTCCATTCCTAGAGGTCTTAAAGCTTTCTCTCTTCTTTAGTTCTTCATTATATCTCATTTCAGATCAACTTACTTTCTCTCTCCATTTCCTTTTATATGTCTACGAAAATAGAACAAAGTGTCCCATAAGTAAGTGATTCGGTTGGCCCTTTTTTGAAACGGTTGAGAGGATTGTTGAATTATTCAAGGTGAAGAAAGTTCTATTTGTTAAGCCTTTTTTGGTCCCAAATTTTCTTGTTCTTCTGGACCGAATCTACTCAGCCCCTTTCAAGCGGCTAAGTGATTTTTCTACTACAATACTCCCTTGCTTTCTGGATTTGATCTGTTGAGTCCTTTAGATTTGGTTGAGCCAAATCTTGGCTAACTTCTTCTTCTGATTCTCTTTAATTCGATGAGTGGATCCCAAACGACTGAATTGATTCATGAATTTTTTAAGATCTTGGGAGTTGATCAAATATGCTTGAAAAACAAGGATTCATATATAAGTTAAAAATATATAAACTCCTCACAAACTAACCTATTTACATATCCTTTTAATTATTATAATATTTTAGGGAGTAAAACAAATTTTTCTTTTGAACTAGTTAGATAAGTGTCAAAAAGGTTATATTTTCTAAGTAAAATGAACATTTATCGAACCTCTAATAAGAAGGAAAAGGTAGTCAAACAATCTCTCTCAACTTATTTGTAAACAACTATTAAACATGTCCCGTAGTGATAATAATGACCCAAATCTCAATTGTCATGATAGTGCAAGTCTGAAATCTCAGCTTAATAGCATACACTTAGTAGAATGAAATTATTTCTCTTTCATTATTAATCTCATAATTTGAAGATATTATATACTCCTGAACTATAATGTATATATAATTTCAATTAATTTTCATGTAATAAATAACAAAATTTTAATTTACTAAAAATAGTTAATAATACCCAATTAGGTGTCATTTGGAGTTTGGTTGAAACTTTCTAAACTATGCAATAATTTCTCCATAAATTATAATATTTTTCTTCCATCGTTTATTATTATCTCACCAAATGAAAGTTTTAAATTACTTGAATTTAATATTTTAATTAAATAGACTTTTACAAAGAAATCTTAACATAATTTATTTCTTAGAAAAAATACAACCCAACCGAACTTGGTATAGAATAAGCCTAATATCATCTATTTTTTCATCCCTAGACACTAGTTATATAATCCGAAAAGAATAATTGGTTTCTTTGTCCCCTTTCAAATGAGGCGGCGATTGACGAACCCCAATAATCTTAAAGTCAACTTAAGTGTGGGACAGACACCAATAATTTCGTGCACTAATGTCCCGTTAAACATTGACAAAACAAAGCAATAAACCAAAGCAAAAAAACAAAAAACCCAGCTACAAAGAACAAGTGAAAATTAAGCCAAGAGACCTCACAAGAACCTTGATCTATCATCGATCGTCGTGGAGAAAGAATGGCAGGTGCTAGGAGATTGGGCGTGGCCGTTGATTTCTCACCATACAGCATCGAAGCACTCCAATGGACGGTGGATAACGTCGTTAAAGAAGGGGACCACCTTATCCTTGTCACCGTTCGCCCCGAAGGGTGGAACTACGAGGACGGCGAGATCCAGCTCTGGAAAGATCAAGGCTCACGTTAGTAATCCTAATCCCTCCCTTTTCACTTTCTCTCGCCACATTTAATGATTTCATTTCACATGTTGCAATTCGTGTGCCCAAAAATATACTATATAGTAGGACTTGACACCATAGACACATGAATTAATTCAATCAACTATCCAAAATATAACGTTCAATTGATTTGTGTGCGCAAATTGAAATTCGATGAATTTAACAAACCCCTCTTGCAGATCCATGGTCGTTTTACCGTTCCTATGTTGAGATTTTTAGTGGTTTATTTTTACTATATGGAGCATCGCTTGGTTTAGTGGATTTTAATTACTTTATGTATATATTAATTGATATAAATTAATGCAGCTCTCATACCTCTGGCTGAGTTCTCTGACCCTGCAGTCATGAAGAGGTACGGAGTGAAACCCGATCCCCAAACAATTGATATTGTCTCGGAGGCTGCGAAGCAAAAAGATGTAAGATTTCTTCTACTCACGGGGTTGTATCTTTGATTTTTGTAATTATATAATAATTATTTCTTAAAATTTATAGTTAATTATATTTTATTAAAACTCAGATATTTATTCGGTATATTTTAGAATGGGAATTTAGATTTAACTTAATTTTGCAAAATTAATTTATAAAATAAAAATTGTTCTTCATTTATAAATTTTGTGTTTGTCTTTATTTCTAATGATGTTCATAAAATGAGTTATAAGATTTTGGGAGTGGCAGATTGTGGTGGTAATAAAGATATATTGGGGAGATGCTCGTGAGAAGTTATGCGAAGCAATTGATCACGTTCCTCTAGATTACCTTACTGTGGGGAACAGAGGCCTTGGCAAGATCAAAAGGTAGCTAGAATTTTTCAACTAAAGTCCTTAGCATTTCATGGTTGTTTCTGATTATCGAGGGATCAATGAGTTTCATTCTTATTTATTTGGGAGTTTTATTTTTTTCATTTTCCTTATACAGGGCCATTATGGGCAGCGTCAGCAACTATGTGGTGAATAATGCCACGTGTCCTGTTACTGTGGTGAAGCACGCAGAACACCAACACTAATTATTAGAGCATCTACGATGGAAGTTGCTTACAAACAATCATTGTGCCACATCACTGCCAAATCAGCTCTAGCCCACTTTATGGATTGTTTAATTTGATAAGGAATAAATTAAAGTTGTTGTTCCTAGTCAATTGTTTATCACTTTGGTTGCTTGCATTGTCTGTATTCTTCCTGTTTATGAAATAAGTGTTCAATAACTTTTGGAGCAACCACATAGCGACGAAGAATTGGAGGAATATGTCCACGACTTTAAATTTAAATTTTAGTGCTATTTTTGTAACTTTGAATGAGAAAAAAAGTTTCGATAACTTTTTCATAATATTTTTTTTATCCCTGGTACAATTTTTTTATATATAAAATAACCAAATAATCAAAAAGAGACAGGTCTATGCTGAAATTCCTGTGTTCATAATGAATAATTTTGTGTATAAAAGTTTGCACGTTAGCATAGATAGTCAATTATTTGATTATTTTAATTCATTATGCTAATCTAATTATGGGAGATTTAAATATTTCTTTAAAATTTTATATTCAAATATTGTTATTTTTATTGTACATATAGTAACAAAAAAGACACTAATTGACTTCTTTGCGTTGGTCAAAATTGTAGCTGCATTCTCATGGCTAAACGAACAAGATTTGCATTTTATTTTTGTTAGTCCTAAGGCTTTTAATACTAAGTTTTATGTGATTTAGTCTTGAGACTTACATCCACAAAAAGAGCAACACCATTTTACTATGATCTTCAAAAAATACAAGTTATAAGTCTCACAAGAACCTTTATTCTATTTTAATACTTCTTGTAATTTTCATCCTTACTTGTTAATCACATGTCCACTTACCAATTTGACTTGTATTTATATTACATACAGGTGGGAAAGATAAGAAAAGAAATAATATATACAGAATACAAGGGAACCCAAGATCAAAATAAAATCATTACAGCTTCAGGAACCAACTAATGAAAATAGAAATTAGTTGAGAGACTAATTTTTGAGAGTCACGTAGATCAACAAATCTCCACCTTGACTCCTAAAAAATCTAGAAGAAGAACCCTTGAACAATTGCTCTTCACATGCTTCAATCAACTAGAAAAATTGACCGAATCTAAACAATGCTTGAACTTAGTTCTAAGAAGAGACTTTGTTAACATATATGTTAGATTGTCTTCGGTGGCAATCTTTTGAATCCTTTTTGTTTCAATCATATCTTTGATGAAATAGTATTTAAGATGTATATGTTTGGTCCTTTCATAATGAATAATCTTGTGCGTAGAAGTTTGCATGTTAGCATAGATAGTTAATTATTTGACTCCTTTAATTCATCATGCTAATCTAATTATTGGAGGTTTGAATATTTGTATAAAATTTTATATTCAAATATGTTATTTTTATTGTACATATAGTAATAAAGAAAAAGGCGCGCACTAATTGACTCCTTTGCCTAGGTCGAAATTGTACCCGCATTCCCGTGGCTAAACGAATAAGATTCGCATTTTATTTTTTATAATTATCAGATAAATGATAAAAATGTGATAAAATCAATTATATAATGAAAACATGTATAAATAATATAGTTTTAAAATTTATTTATAATAAAATAAGAAAGAAAGTTACAGGAGCAGACCCTGCCCAAAAGCAATACCAAAAAATACAAAAGACATAAAGTATCTAATAAGAACGTAACATATTATGCAAAAACATATAGCAACAAATGAAAAAATTAAGAAAAGAAGAATGCAACAAATTTATAAGGTCAACCAATGCGATCCATCCACGGGAGGAGCAACTTTTATTATTTAATAAGTAAGACCAGATTTCTACGATTAATAAAGTAATATTTACTCTTATTTAAGATTAAGTTTTATAAAATTTGACAAACTGAACCAACCAATCAGATCATTAATGAAGAGAGACTACACGATTTGAACTCATCAAATTAATAAAGATAAGTTGTACATACTCAAAAAATAAGGCTATACGGATTAAACTTATTGTTGCCCATTTTCACTAATCAAGATCCATCTCTACGAATAATCACGAACCACATATTCTTTATCTTGTATAATTAATTAATTATGAACATTAATAACTTGAGACGTGTAATAATAATATTTTTAAAAACTTATTTGTGTGATAACATTATCTTTAAAAACTTATTCGTGTGATGGGCAAATCTTTTAAAATATTACAAATCATTCCCAACATTAATTGGGATAATAAAACTAACAAATACTTTTAATAATAATTACCTATGAAATGATAAAGAGATTAAAAAAAAGATGAAAGTGATAAAGAGATTAAAAAAAAAATGTATAGGGGAACTCAACTCGTAAAACCTTTTGAATCTTATATGTGTAATGAGAAAGATAATTTCTCAAAACTACCTAAAATCAAGTCCTTAGATCAAGAAAATAAAGTAATAACCTTTAAAAGATTAAGTTAAATGATAAGATAAGATATAACTCAATTTAAAAGACTAAGTCACAAGACTAAAATAAATAAAGTATTTACTTGATATAAAAACTAAAATAATTTATAATAACTTTTTAAACCTTAATTAAATAAATATATTAATTTTTTTTTTAAATATCACTCAAATATACAACACTCATAAGACCGTAAAGGCAAAATAACATATATATAACATATAGATGATATCCCAAATATTGAGTCACAAAGAACAATTATTCACCTTGACTCTAAATTTGAAGAAGAATAACCTTTCACCATAACACTACTCTCCCATTTCATAACAAAGCATCAAATAAAATTGATTAAGTCTATACAATGCTTGAACGAAATTGATTAAGTCTATACAATGCTCAAACTTTGATGTAGATAGAGACTTTGCATGTGAATACATCAACAATATTGTCTTTGGAAACAATGTTCTCAATTTTAAATTTCTTCAAATTCAATCACATCTAATGAAGTGAAGTTGGTACTTGTTAGCAGGGAATTTGTATAAAGGCTCGAAAACAATCTTGAGGAGTGATTCGATAACCAGGAGAGTGGTTATAGATGAGCCAAGTAGCCCATACAAGCAACATAAGATATGGAGTAATGTCGATCACCTTACAATACAAACAACCTCAAGAAACTTAATTTCGATAGTCGATTAAGGAATTATAAAACAGTCCAGAGGTATCCATGAAATGTGGAACAATTATATATCACGTAGGACCTACAAAGTAACTAATTCTCAAAACAATCTTTGAAGGGGCTCGAAGAAATTAGTCGATGATTGAAAATCAAGTAAGTAGTTATGAGAAGTTAATGACGGTTGAGAGGAGTCACCCACGTCACATAATGTAGAGCAGTTATATGTCCCATGACGAACTAATGCAAAATAACCACTCTTCCTTATCCTCTATAAATAAACGTGTAACGACCTGCCATGGCCGTCACACTACGAAACAACACTACACACTACTGAAATATATATACTAAAATAATATAATAAAATATTTATAATACAAGTTGTTAATCAAGCAACCAGTTATATACAACAAAATATGCTGCTATAAGGTAGCCTACAAAAAAATATCAATCTCTAAACATCTCCTGTAGCCTCTAGTAACTATCTCCTAGCCTATCCCTGCCCTGCTCCCATACCAACGTATGATCATTGCAGTTCAAACTACATGGAAACACACAAGGGTAAGCTAGAGACAATAAATAACTCATAAATATCAAATATGAAACACAACTATACAATCATCTTCACATCTGACACAAAAGATAAACAACACATATATTATACATCTTAACATCATTTCAACTTAATTCCACATATCAACGTTGTGTTAACATCTCTCAACAACACATGTTTAAAACAACTTACAACACAGGTAATCTAGCGACACTAGCATCATCATCAACTTGTATACAATTAAGCAACATACAACATAACAACACTATCATCATCCTCAACAAGATCAACATACAACACAATCACAGCTTAACAACATAACAACATAGATACAACTTTTATCAACAACAAATCAACTCATCAACAACTTATGCGTCGTCACGCATTTCAACTCGGAGTTCTCCAACAACTGAGGTTGAGCAGTCTAAGTGGCATAAACCCTACCAAATCTAGCGTTTGACCTATCTCAACCAGGTCAAGTATAGAGTAACATTAGGAACTCCGAAGATAAGCAGTATAGACAACAATAGGCGATTACTCAAGTGTGCCACTTAGACTCGAAGGTCTAGTACTACTGTCAGGACAGAAGGGTTTGGGTATGAGCCTACCATGACCTTGGCTAGCTTCACCAATCCACATATGAAGTTAGTCCACCCACTGTTCTCCAAGTACCATGCACCCTCCAGTACGTAGTCAAAGACTACATCTCTAACTAGATACCTTACTCAAATTGGTCATTCAACCATGACATGGATCGACTACTTCCATGTCGCCCACACAATACTAAGGGATTCAACTTTAAAACAAATTTCAACTTATCTCCTTAGTACTATGTATCTCAACATAGGACATATATCTTTACCATATGTCCCCAACTTTTCAAATTTACAACAATAGACATCATAACAACTTTACAACAATAAACATCTGGCCACTTGTAATCGGTATAGCTCGGCCTGACCCCTATACCGTGGTCGCTTTGTACACGTGTGCCTCGACCTTGCCCACACACGGGATCAACTAAGTCCTATAGGAGAACAACACAACGTCCACTTCAAGGGACAACTTCTTAATGAGGGTTTCTTTTCAAAAAATTGGGCTCTCAGAGCACCACAACTATCTCAATCCACATAATAGGATGAGCAATTTCGAAAACATCTCCCCTAGTCTTAGTGATCAACAACTCATCATCACAGCTTTACAACAACAAGCATCTTAACAACTTTACAGCAATAGACATCTTAACAACTTCACAGCAATAGGCATCTTAACAACTTTACAACACTAGGCATCTTAACAACTTTACAGCAATAGATATCTTAACAACTTTACAACAATAAGCATCTTAACAACTTTACAGCAATAAACATCTTAACAACTTTACAACAATAAGCATCTTAACAACTTTACAACAATAGGCAACTTATACAACTTTATAACAATAAACAATTATAATCATCAATCTCAATTTTAACAACTTTAAACAACATAGCAACTATTCCACATACATCCTAATACAACTTTACAACTTACACTACTTCAACTTATACCTCTCGACTTATTAATAATTCAACAATAACACTAGTACAGAATACACATTCTACGTCGGTTATTTTAGGGGTTTTACGTCGGAAAAACCTTCGATGTCGAAGCG